TTTAATTTAAAAATTTATATAGCTTTGCCTAGTGTACTAAAGCTAAAGGCAAAGTGGTGAGTGAGGCTTTTAGAGGTGAAATTTAGGGTAGGCATTAAAAGACTTTGAGAGAACTTTGGTCAGGCTAAAGTATGTAATTAATAACCTATCGTCAGTATAAATATTTTTTATATTAGCAGTTTATCAAAAAATATTTATACATATTTTTGTTAATATGTGAAATTTAAAATTATTTATATTAAAAGATAATGTATATTACTTAAAACTCTTTCTATATATATAATTCATGGCTCTTGGTATGCTCAAGAATGAAAGTGACAAAATGGTGGATAAAATAGAGGGAGGAAGCACCAATAAAATTGTCAAGATTTTCATCTTATTCTTCATTGTTGCTATTTGTTGCCTTGTTCTTAATTATCATTCAAACACATACATTTTAGAATTTTTTCCAAATTCAAACAACTCCATTTTGTCTAAAAACTTATCAATTTATGACTCCTATATTAATGGGAAGAAGAGCTCTAGACAAGAAAATTATCTAACTTATTCAAAGGTGAGTTATATGTTTCTTTTTAATTAATCAAGAGTAAATTCAAAAATTTTATTTGATAGGTATAATTTTTATATTCTTATCGCAAGATATGCAGTAACTTGGATGATTATATTGAAAAAACAATGGTGTATACCATCTTTGAAAAAAAATGATGTGTATCAAAAGGAAAGTTACATATTTGACCGTTCAGTTAAAAATATGTGCATGCACAAATTCACCTACCAATATACATTATACATTGACCAATTATTTATGTCAATTGACTTATATTTATTTCCAATTTTTGCCTAATTTTGTTTTTATTTTTTCAGAAGCAGAAAATTAAATTAAAGAAAGTGTTAAAAGAGGCAGCCATGGGAGATAAAACAGTAATAATAACAACACTAAATGCAGCATGGACAGCACCAAATTCAATTTTTGATATTTTTTTGGAGAGTTTTAGAATTGGAAATAATACAAAATCATTATTGAAGAATTTATTAGTTGTAGCTTTTGACCAAATTGCTTATTCAAGATGCTTGGAGATTCACACACATTGCTATGCATTAATCACCAAAAATGTTGATTTTTCTGGAGAAAAAAGATATATGAGTGGTGATTATTTGAAGATGATGTGGAGGAGAACTGATTTTCTAAGAATTGTTCTTCAAATGGGATATAGCTTCATCTTTACGGTACGTGTTTTATAGTATGTTTCATCAAACTTTTAGATGTTAATTGATCTCATTTTCTTATAAAGTTACTCTCTCTGATCTGTCATGATTTGTGTGATATTTTCCACATTTTATAATTTGTTTGGGCAAACTTTTAGATGTTTACTGATCTCAGGGACCCTTGATCTCAACTACTCTCTCTGATCTGTCTCGAATTATGTGATATATTTTGCTTCTCGAGAAGTGATTTGAGTAATCTTTTAAGTTAATTTGAATTAGATCAATTTCATATTTTTAAATTAAATTTTAGACATTCAAGAAACTATAAAATAAGTGTAGTTATTCTCATGTCAATATGATGAAAACTTATATAATTATAAAATATTGATCGAAAATTACATAATTTGAATCTCGAAACACAAATAGTGTTACTTAAACTGGAACAGAGGAACTACTTATTTTAGAGAGTTGATGTGTTTGATCATTCTTTTAAGAAAAGTGTTAGTGTCGGTCTTTGAGTAGTAACGTAAGTTGTTTCTTGAAGCCGAAAAAAATAGTTGTTTTCCCAAAAACAGTCTTGAAATCTTGGTCAAGCACAAATTTTATTTTTTGTTCTAATATTGGCATAAGTATTTTTAAAATTAATTCGCTAGCACAAATTGCTACTCTCTAAAAATACTTTTTCGTGAAGAATTTCGAACAAAAAATACTTTTCAAGATATGTCAATTTTGAATGCTTCGCCAAACAAACTAACTTTGTTCTTTTCCAATATTCAAATAGTGTTTTTAGAGAAAAAAAAAAATTTGAATTAGCTTCTGCAAAAAAAGATGACATTTTTTTTTAATAATTAAAAAGAAAAGTATGACAGTTCAAATAAAGGAAATAAATACTTTTAATTAATTTTCCAAAAGTTTGGCCAAACAAAAATGAAAACAACTTAAACAAGTGCGCAATTTGTATCTCTTAGTGATTTCATGAATTTTTTTTATTTTTTGGTTCTTTTCAGGATGCAGATATATTATGGTTTCGACAACCGTTTGCACATTTTTATTCACATGTTGATTTCCAAATTGCTTGTGATTATTATCTACACAACTCATCCGACCCGAATAACGCTCCAAATGGAGGATTTAAATTCGTGAAGTCAAATAATCAGACGATACAATTCTACAAGTTTTGGAACAAATCAAGAAGAACTTATCCAGGAAAGAATGAACAAGATGTGCTCAACATAATCAAATATAGTCCTTTTATCAAGAAAATTGGATTGAAAATGAGATTTTTAAATACTGCTTATTTTGGAGGATTTTGTGAACCTAGCAAATATCTTAATTATGTATGCACAATGCATGCAAATTGTTGTATAGGTCTTGATAACAAAATACATGATTTAAGAATGGCAATTAATGATTGGAAAAATTATATGGCTTTGCCAAATGATGAAAGGAAGTCATATAAATATACTTGGACTCTTCCAAGAATATGTGGATAAATGATATATTTGATCATCTCAATGAACAACTTTTTCTATGTTTCAATTTTTTTTGTCCTAGGTGTCTTTTTTTTAGTAACTATTATAAGATTTGTATCGTGCAGATGATCTATCGAAAACATATGATTAAATAAATAAAAAATTTACATCCTTCAACAACTTAATGATCATACAAATTCAATCTCGTATACTGCATGTGCAAATTTCATCATCATCCATTTATTCAAAAGAATTCAAAGGACGAAAGTTAAATAATGTAGTTCTTAATATTTCGTACTATCTTCATTCTTCACGATAACTAGAGGTCGAGGGGATGATGTTGGTGGTAATGAACCTTGAATGGAGCAAAAACTCTTTAGTGTTAAAGGGAAAAGTGAACTAAAAGGAAAAATCTTAGGCCAACAACTATCATGAATGTCTAATACAGCTTTGCAACATTGAGGACCAATTAGTCGAAGTTGAGTTCTTAGGAAAGATGTTATAATTTCTTCGACACATCCAGGAACATTTAATACTGATGCGACACATTTGGAGATATCTGGAAAAAGAACATTATCGATCTGACCTTCTGAATCTGGCAAAAGGCCTCCTCCTCCAAGTAATTGTGAGATGCTCGGAGAAATCTTAATGGATATGCACAAGAAAATAAGTGTATACGTATAGACCGAAGTCATTTTTCTTATCGAATATATAACTTAGTTGATTTTAATTGTACTTGGGGTTTAGAAGATTTGGAATTCGATGAAAATTCGAAAAGAGGATATGCCATATTTATATTATTGTAGGATATATGGTGACCTTTTTTCCCCTTTAAATGTCTTTAATATGAGGACTTTATTGTACATTTAAATAGTTGTAACTTGCAACTTGTAATTAATTGTCTTTTTAAGTTTTAATTGGCATTTAATGCCATTTTTACTTGCATCTATGTACTATTAAGAAGCAGCATTTATGATATTTATCAGTAGATAATTTAATAAGTAAATGGTTCTCCGATTATTCAATAATAATTGTCCACTATTGACTTGGTATATATCTTAGCAAATAATTAATAATAGGGTTAATATTGCTATATTACCCTTTGAATATATTAAATTAAATGTTTTAGAAAATGTATTAGATATTGAATTCGGACGGATTAAAATGAGTTCATCAGTTAATAAATAAACGGATTATTGACCCATCCAAATGTTAGTTGGCTGAAATAAGCTAAAAAGTGGATTAAAATTCAACCCGTCCATTCATCACTAAATTTTAATTGCTTTATTTATTTTTTTAATACAGAATAAAATTATATATTTTATTATTATTATTATAGAAAATTAAAAATATTCATAGATCAATTTGGATCAGATATCAGCCTTTAGGCTGAAATAAATTGATTAAAATAGCTTGAACGTATAAATAAGTGAATCAATAATCAACATAAACTTAAACAAATTGAATAAGTTATAGTTTAACAGGCTAATAAATGAAATGTATCTATAACTAAATTATATAGTAGGGGCCTTCAGATTAATGTTTTTCTTTCTAGTACAGCAATAACTCATGAGGTAAAACTAATTAATGTCTTAAAAACTTCATGTTCTAGTCAAGATAGAGGGAGTATATTTTTATATTTCCATTTCATTCATAAAAAAAAAATAAAAATTAATGACACAATTTAATTCTCTTCTTTCCTTTTTATTTGTTATATTTCGATGCTTTTCTTTTTATTTGTCATATTTTGATTCTAGAGAGTCAGAGTGCATAAATATTGATTAATATTGTAAAATATAATTTTTCATCATATTAATATGAGAAAGATTGCACATTAAAGTAATTTCATATAGTTTTCAAATAGGAATAATTTCAGCGACCTCTCTTCAAGTTTCGCTTTATCACACTCACCTCCTCTGTAGTTTAATTATGATATTACTCTTACCTCCCTTATTTTCATTTTCTCGTAACCATTCTTTAAAAGTTATTCAATAAAGGTGTAACACATATTATAATTCTTAATTACTTGAAATTACTATTTATATTTTTTTGAGTTAGGTCTGGACTTAGCATGGACCTCCTGTCACTTGTTTTATTATATAGATAAAGTGTTTAAGCTTTTGAACAAAAATAAAATCTTTGATAATTATAATTAAAGACTTCGGGCAAGAAACCACTAATTTTTCCAATTTCTAGTTCATTCATGGACTAAGTAAATGCATAATAATATATGAAAAAACTATTTCCTCTACGATGAGGTGCAAACACAATCACTAAATCTTGGTTCAAACAAGATAATTCAAGATAAAAGACTAAAGTTTTTTAAAGTGTCGGTGTATATAATTTTTTGTCTGACTTGATTGGTGCAGCTACAAGACGATTTGGATCAGGTTCACCAGGAATCACACGGTATGCAAATTTTTTGCCTAAGTTGATTGGTGCAGTTACAAGACGATCTGGATCAGGTTCACCAGGAATCACATGGTATGAAAACTTTTTTCCTGACTTGATTGGTGCAGTGGCAGAACGATCTGGATCAGGTTCACCAGAAATCACACGGTATGGAAACTTTTTACCTGACTTAATTGGTGCAGCTGCAGGACGATCTGGATCAGGTTTACCAGGAATCACACGGTATGAAAACTTTTTACCTGACGTAATTGGTGCAGCTACAAGACGATCTGGATCAGTTTCACCAGGAAACACACGGTATGAAATTTTTTTGCTTGGCGTAATTGGTGCAGCTGCAGGACGATCTGGATCAGGTTCACCAGGAATCACACGATATGAAAATTTTTTACCGAACTTGATTGGTACAGCTACAGGACGATCTGGATCAGGTTCACCAGGAATATCACGGTATGAAGGCTTTTTGCCTGGCTTAATTGGTGCAGTTGCAGGACGATATGGATCAGGTTCACCAGGGATCACACGGAATGAAATCTTTTTACCTGACTTAATTGGTGTAGATGCAGGATGATCTGGATCAGGTTCACCAGAAATCACACGGTATGAAAACTTTTTGCCTGACTTGATTGGTGCAGCTACAGGACGATCTGGATCAGATTCACCAAGAATTACACGGTATGAGAACTTTTTGGTTGACTTAATTGGTGCAGCGTTCACTAGGAATCACACGGTATGAAAACTTTTTGCCTGACTTGATTGGTGCAGCTACAAGACGATCTGGATCAGTTTCACCAGGAAACACACGGTATGAAATTTTTTTGCTTGGCGTAATTGGTGCAGCTGCAGGACGATCTGGATCAGGTTCACCAGGAATCACACGGTATGCAAATTTTTTGCCTAAGTTGATTGGTGCAGTTACAAGACGATCTGGATCAGGTTCACCAGGAATCACATGGTATGAAAACTTTTTTCCTGACTTGATTGGTGCAGTGGCAGAACGATCTGGATCAGGTTCACCAGAAATCACACGGTATGAAAACTTTTTGCCTGACTTGATTGGTGCAGCTACAGGACGATCTGGATCAGATTCACCAAGAATTACACGGTATGAGAACTTTTTGGTTGACTTAATTGGTGCAGCTGCAAGACGATTTGGATTAGGTTCACCAGGAATCACTCGATATGAAAACTTTTTACCTGACTTAATTGGTGCAGCTGCAAGACGATCTGGGTCAGGTTCACTAGGAATCAAACGGTATGAAAACTCTGGCCCTTGTGAGATATCATTCAACTTTCTTGAAATTTCGTGGACCGCTAAAACAGGTTGAGATATTTTTTTTCACTTTTTGCTATTAAACTATCATGTTGTTGAATAGCTTGAACTATATTTTCACAACTACGAACAAAAAGAGCAACAAGAGTGAAAAAGATTAAGTGAAAGAGATTCATTTTTGTAGATGCTTTTTGCTTTTGCTTTTGTTTTTGTATTTTTTTTTCATAGATGAATGGTCCATAAATACTTGTTAAAAATTTCCTAATTAATTAATGCAGTATTATCTCCACATATCTATAGAAAATTCTGGAAAACAGAAGTTATGAGGATGTAATTACAAATTAAAGTTTGGATTTATTTCTTTCATTTCAATTAATTTTAACAAATCTGAATATCTTTCTTCATCTTAAGAATTTGAAAATAAGGACCCTTTTGGCTTCAAGTTTTATTTGAAAAAAACTTTGGAAAAATTTGGTTGTTGGCGTTTTGCCACATAACTTTGGCAAGTTTTTTTGCCAAGAATCTCAAGTTCCCAAATACTAGAAAAAACTAGTTTTTGGGAACTTTAAAAAATTCAAAAATTACCCCAAAGAAGAAGAAGAAGATATTGTTGTTGTTGATCTTTGGAACACAAAAGAATTTCTAGCTCCATACAATGGAATGCGATATCATTTGCAGGACTACAGGAAAAGTGAAAGAGATCCTAAGAATGACAAAGAGTTATTTAACTATAGACATGCCTCTTTGCGTAATGTAATTGAAAGAACATTTGGTGCGTGGAATAGTAGATTTAGAATACTACGACAAGACATGAAAACCTATGAATCAGATAAGCAGGTGAAAATAATAGTTGCTTGTGTCATATTACATAATTTTTTGCGTGAAAATCAAAGCAGTGATGAAATATTCAATGAACATGAACTTTAATTATGATATGGTTATTGATGAAGATGACGAACAATCGACTCAGAGTAACAATATTATTTCTTCTCAGTCATCTGATCTAGAAATGAAAGCTTGTCGGGAAGAGATTGTTCGTAGAATGTGGGAATATTATATAAAGGAATAGTTTGTTATTACCTGCTCTGGAGGTTGTTATAATTATAACTGAATCAATGACAAGTTTGAATATGCATTAATGTATTGCTCTTGCCTATATTGTTATTTTGTTGTTGTTGATTGTTATCAATTATGTTATATTAAAATAGTCAAATATTTTTTGGGAAACTTGAGTCCAAACACAGGGTGTTAACTTGGGCAAAATCTGGCTCAAGTATTATTTGGCAAAAATACTTAGGAACTTGAGGCCAAACGCTAGCTAAGTAATTAAAATTCTGAACAAGAAACATCTCACTTGGTTAATTAGTTGAAAATAAAACCAAAAAAAAGGTGAAAATAAATTCGCCCCTTTAACCTCACCTTAAAAATCAAATTCTCCCTCCAACATTAAGTTATCCTAATTCCTTTTTATATTATTTATTTATGTAATGTAATTTTTTTCAATTATATTTTATATTATTTTTTCAAATTCTTTTTATCTATAATATATATGATATGAAATATGATAATAAGATTGATTGATTTTATGTTCTTATCATATTAGGGTGTGCATCAACCAATTCGGTCGGAATTTTATACGTTATCAATTTGATTTATTGATTCTTTTCATTTGTGAACACGCTAAATTGGTAAACAAATCAATACGATATTTATTATCGATTTCGATAGATTGTTTTTTTTATCCTTAACAATTCGACTTTTTTATTTAATTGGTAAGAAAATACTCATACAACTCTATAGACATACACTTTATTCGTAAAATAGAAATAGCAGCAAAAATAGAAGTGTAATACAAATTTCTATATTTATTATTTTTGTTTAAGACAAAATTGTTCGAATTTCTTCTAAATTGACTTATGCAATAAACTTCAAAAACAACATTAATTATTTGTATTTATCACAATCAAATCAAAAAATTGAGAAGAGAGGGAGTAACACTAGTTTATGTCGAGATGAGATAAGATGTCACAAAAGAGAGCCGAAGAGGCTAGTTTGTATTGCCTACAACCAAAAATAATTCTAAAATTTAGAAAATATAGTTCGTAAAATGTTAAAGTCACCCTTGTATAAGTAAGTAAAGAGTAAAATAGTAACTTTAATATAATTTTATTGGGTTATCAATTTAACCATTAACCAAAATCATACAATCAAAACCGAACAGATAATCCAAAAAATAATTCTACAAAATCGCTTACAAACTGCTCAATTATCTAATACTGAAAAATCATTACAAAATTTAATTTAATTTATTGATTAGTTTGATTTTTACACCCCTCTCAATTATTGACTGTATGCTTTTTGTCGCACCATTTTAGAAAGGGAAAACCTTATACTCACTATATTATTTCATTGAAAAAAACTTATATTTTTAAAAATTCTCCCAAAAATCAACTTGTTTTATTTTGTTAACTTTTATAGTCATTTTAGCTAAACTTTGTATTTTTGGGGGAGAATTATATTATTGACGAGGTCTTTTAATTATGTCATATAATCTATTTTATTAATTACTAACTCGAATATGTTATTTATGTGAAATTTTGCGTGCACCACTCAAATATTGATAGATAAATACATGCGGCGTTCAACGTTTAAGGGACAAAAATGTACCAAGGGACAAAATCAACTTTATTTTTTTTTATTTTTTGCAACTTTTCATTTGTAATATTTATGTCCACTTAACTTTTCTGTGAGTGTGACTCATCAGCCAAAAAACATTTTTTTCTTTTAAAAAAAAAATTATTTTTCTCAATTTGCCATTATTTTTCACAACCATACAAATTATTGTATGTGATTGTGACCCACAAGGGATGTTAATTTGACTTAAAGAGGGGTTGCATGGGGAAATTTATTGTTCGAAATTTTGAATGAAATAATGACGGTAAACAAATTAAAAGTTAAGTTCTATTTTAATTTGTTTGACTGATTTATTTATTCACAAAATTTAATTAAAAAAATTAAATCTTATAATTTTAAACTGAATATATTTAAAATGTATTAACATATTCTTTAATATTATGATATTAAAGATTGTGAAATGTTTTAGAATTAACATATTATAAAAATACAAATGTTCATTTTAAACTAATTAAATAAAGCAAATAAAATTAAAAAGAGAATAATATTATGAAAGGGGTTGACAATTGGCTGAATAAATTCTATATGACAATATTTGATTGATCACAAAATTTGAAGAAATAAAACAAAATAAAACTCATGCGAAAACAAGTCCTAAATATTTTTTTAGATATAAATCATCTTATTAAAAATAAAATTAAAAAAAATTAAAATTAAATTATCTCTATATAAGTATAACATCCTTTTTAAAACAATTAAGCTGAAAGAATCACCATGGATTGTGGTGTAATGGTAGGACTGTTTTAACCCTTAATCAGAGGTGTCGAGTTTGAACCCTCAATATAAAGAAAATCACATTATGAGCACCACATGTAAAATGAGCTCTACAATGTATGATTCGAATTTAATTAGAGCTTTAATGAGAACATCAACACAAAATGAAAAACAAAAAAGCAGTTTTACAAAATTATAATAAATAAATTGAGAAAAGTTAAAATATTATTTAGTGAATGGAGTTGGAGCTAGAATTAGAATTGTGGTTTTTATAATGTCTTAGAATTTTGATATAGAACCAAAATAAAATAAAAAGAGAAACGAATGGAGTTGACTAATATTTTAATTATGTTTTTTTCATGATGATGATGACTAATTATGAAATTTCAATATTTTTGTGATTAGACTTTATGAATCATCACAATAATTCGAATTCCTCCCTCGCAAAATCCGAATAAGGTTTAAACTTTTTCATTTAATTGGATTGTTTGTTTACATGTTAGAGTTGTGCATCTATTAGTAAGGATTAGTTATGAGTGAATTTATATATTACTTTATACAAATATTAGGTATACATAGATTATTATACATACATTAGTTTTTTTTACCTTCTATCCTACATAAAATAATACATTAATTTCCCCATAAATCATCACCAAATGTTTATCAAAACACACCTCAATAATCAGTTGTTCACTTTTTTATCTGAAATATCATCATTGTTCAGGAAGAAAAGTGAATAACTAATAGTTGAGGTGTGTTTTAATAAACATTTGGTGATGTAGTATAGATAAAAAAAAACTCATGTATTCATAATCAGATACGAAACTCAAAAAGTCAGAGATATTTTAAATATATTTTTATCCTTTCACTCAAAGTTAAAGGGTCAAAATCATATTGTACAAGTTATTTATAACTAAACAAAAAAGATTAATCTATATTTTTTTGAAAGATGAATTACTTAAATAATATATGAAAATATTTCATTTAAATGGAAAATTAACTCAATACGTGACAAAATAGTGAGATAATTATTTAAGCTTATAGTCCTTTTCATAATGGAAGAAAAAGTCATCAAATCTTTAGAAGGATAACCTTATAAATTACTGCTTTGATTAGCATAAAATAATAGTTATATAGTCAAGAAAGAACAAATTTGTCTCATCGTAATATTATTTTGGAATAAAATTTAAATCAGTCAAAATAATTTCTTATGATCACTTACAAATTAAATTAAAAAAAAGGCTTTTTTAATTTTTTTATAAGTATAAATAAGAATCTTCAATAATAATTATATTCGTATCATAATATACTACTCCATATTAATATGAAAATAAAATAATTTCTCAAATAGTTACTCATACGGATAAAACACTTGTCTTTTTTTTGTCACAATAAAATTATCTAATCAAATAAGAGTATCGAAATTACTATAGCCGGCCGGAACTTAATTTTTTTTTTAATTTTTTTTATTTTATTAATATTTAATCCTTCTTATTTGTGTCAAGAGGATAGATTAAAATTAATAAAATAAAAACAAAAAGTCAACTTTGGTCCCTTTGTATTCTGTAAGGTTGATTTCTTTTAGAAAATTATCTTTCTTTTTAATATCAATTTTCTTTGAAAAATTAATTTTGTAATATAATAATTATTAGTTAAATAACCATCTAAAAGATCAACTATATAGTATCAGAAATATTAAATTCTAATGTATATGTTGTTGAAATATTGCATTCGTCTCTATTTTTCCTTATTTGTAAAAAAAATT